AATTTTATGCCCTGAAGAGAGTACACAATGTTTGTGGGGTTTTTTTCCAATTCACTTAATAGCTGTGGTACACAAAGTACAAGTTGGTTTTTGTACTAAAAGAAGAGGTAAAAGGAATACATCAGATTGTCAGGGAAAATGAACTGTTTCTTGAAAGAATAGAAAAATATCCTCTTTCTGTGTACCTCAGGTATTCTCTTATTCCCCATAATTCCACAAAATCAAGAAAATCAAGGGATTAAAACCTCCAAGTCCACTTCAGGAATACTCTTTGAAACTGTCCAGACTATCAAGGACATGCATATCCAAAAGTATACCAAGCGTATGAAAGCAGCCACATAAAAGAACAGCATGTTCTTTTCTATGAATAAAGTAATAGATTTGTCAGGTATGCCCAGACTCAAGAGTGGGGCTGGACACACAGCCATTAGCCCTCAAAAAGTATTTGATTTTTGCTGTACAGGCTTAAAACTTCATTGAGTAATCCGAAAGTTTTGGATGTAGATTGTCTTGTCATTGAGCGTATCCAGATCAACAGCTCACCAAAATGCATAAGCATACTTACAGAGCTTATGACTGAATCAACCCATATGTAAGTTTCCTTGCCATATTGAGATGCTTCTTACTGGGGTGGAAAAATCATTCCTAAGCCAGAAGAGGAGACTGCTAAAAAGAAAAGGGTATCCAAAAGCAATTGAAGAAACAAAAACGTATCGTATATGAATAAATATGACATTAACATGCAAATAAAATGAAATTAAGACAAAAAAAAGAATAGGAGAGGTATTTTTTTAAAAGTATCTGATGAGGCATAGGAGAATTCTAATTTATATCAGATAATGGCTAAGAGTAGGTGATTATAACAATCATAAGAAAGAAAAGGACTCCAGAACATTTGGAGCTAAGTAATAGATGAGGCTTTCTTCATAGAAGAAGAAATTCAGCAGTAAAATTCATAGCTTCAGAAGTGTATATGCAGATGCATAAAGCAGAGGTACTAGGTAGAGGTCCAAATGCAAGGAAGCATTTTTTCCTAAGTAAATTCCAAGTTTGGGGAATCGGACTTATGAATGGAATGTGGCTCTTGAAGATTATGACTTACTCAAAAGTAGTATAATAAAGAAAGCAGTGCAGTAACCTAGAGTATAAGAAGATATACTCTTTTTTTTAACTTTCAATATTAATTTATTCTTAGTTTTCAACATTCACTTCCATAAGCTTTTGAGTATTAAATTTTCTCCACCTCCCTCCCCAAGATGTCACGCAATCTTATATAGGCTCTACGTATACATTCCTATTAAACATTTTACATTAGTTATGTTGTAAAGAAGAATTAGAACCCATAGGAGGAGCCACAAGAAAGAAGAAATAAAACAAAACAGAAGAAAAAAAAAGAGCTAATAGTATGTTTCAATCTGCATTCAAACTCCATAGTTCTTTCTCTGGATGTGGATAGCATTTTCTATCATGAGACTTTTGGAGATGTCTTAGATCCTTGCCTTGCTGAAAAGAGCTAAGTCTGTCAACGTTAGTCATTGCACAATGTGGCTGTTACTGTGTACAGTGTTCTCCTGGTTCTGCTCATTTCACTCGGCATCAGTCCATACAAATCTTTCCAGGTTTTTCTGAACTCTGCTTGATCATCATTTCGTATAGCACAATAGTATTCCATTGCATTCATATACCCCACAACTTGTTCAGCCATTCCCCAGTTAAGAAGGTATGTACTCTTAAGAAAATCCAGGAACCTAGATGTGTCAGAGAGCACTTGGAGCAAGGAGCAATAGCAATCAGAAATAATCCCAGGAAAATAGCAGACCACCTATGCAGGAGAAGGAAATAGATCACAAACTTAGCATAAATGTATGATATTGTAGTTATAGGGGAACTTCAGTTATCCAGATATGTGTTAGAGCAATGCAAAATTTTAAGTCCCTACTGTGTGCCAGGCAACTGTGCTATGTAATGAGAGTACAATGACAAAAATTAAATAGTCCCTTACCTTCAAGTTACTTACATTCTAGTAAAGAGAAATAAACATATACTCAAATAGGTGAATACAAAACATAGAAAACATAGAAAAAACAAATGCAAAGTAATTAGGAGGGAAGGCTTTTGAATTTGACCAACAAAGAGGAACTGGTTGGAAAATTTTGAGGCTTGTGACAAATCTTAGAATTTGTGATAATGAAAAGGAAATTGACCATAGTCTGGCCTGCTCCCAAGATTTCAAATAGCGTAGAAAAAAATATACAGGTAATATCACATGGCACCAAATTCTACAGGGGAAATCAGCCCAGAAGGGATGGGAAGCTCCCAAGAATAAAATTCTAAAGACTGAAAAAAACAATGAAATGAAATGAAATGAAAAAAAAAAAGGTGAAACTGTGGTTATACCAGGAATTCATCAAGCAGCTCAGACTTGAGGAAGCTGTGTATAGAAGAGGGAAGGGCGGGAAACTTAGGGTGAATACAAAAAGAGTGACATGGTCCTTAAAAAGTATCAGGTGTTAAAGTTAATAATAAGTTGAGACTAGTAATGAATGCTATAGGGATTTTTTCTAGCTATGTTGGAAAAGGAGAAGAATCAAGAACTGAATAGGACCATTGTTCATTGCAGCTGTGGCTGTGACAGTGAGTGACAAAAGATGGCAGTGAGAAGGCAAAACTTAAATTTTTGCTTCTGTTTTCTCTTTCAAGGAGAATGATCTTTAGTATGGTAGAGACTAGGACAAAATATATAATAAAAAGTTGAAATCTCAGATAGATGAAATATTAAGTGAGCACCTAGCTTTCCTCAGTGATTTCAGATCAAAAGGCTTGAACTACATCCCAGGGTATTAGAATTTGTAAGGTGTGATTGCTGAGTCACTCTTAGGGATCAGGAAAGATTGTGGAAAAGTGGGAATGTACCTCAGGACTAAAGAAGGACAAGTGTACTGATTTTTTAAAGGGGGGAGGGAGTAGTGGATGCTAAATTAAACTGTTGGCATCAATTCCTGGCAAAATTTTGAAACGTTATAATGGGCAGATTGGAATAGGGAAAGACAAGACAGAAAGCTTGGGTAGAAGGCTCCTTACAGTAATCCACATCTGAGGTAATGGAGGTCTGACCTAGAGTAGTTGAAGCAAAAGAAAAGGAAATATAAGGAAGATTTCTGAAGTAAAATGAACAGGACTTAGGAACTGATTGGCTATAAAGGATGAACGAGGGGGAATATTACTCCAAGGTAATGAGCCTGAGGGAATGAGAAGATGGTTGTGCTATCAACAGATACAGAGATGTTAAGGGGAGGGGAAATTTTTGAGGGCAATGGGATTAATCCAGCTTTGTATGTGTTGAGTTTTAGGTGTTGATTTGACATCTAAATAGCACTTAGAAATATGAAACATATAAATATGAGACACATGTAGAAATTTGCATGTTGGAAATATGGGGAGGGGCAGCTAGGTGGCGCAGTGGATAGAGCACCGGCCCTGAAGTCAGAAGGACCTGAGTTCAAATCCTGCCTCAGACACGTAACACTTACTAGCTGTGTGACTCTAGGCAAGTCACTTAACCCCAAATGCCTCCCTCCCAAAAAAAAAAACCCAAAATATGGGACCTGAAGCTCTGAAGAGAAGTAGTGATATAAATTTTAAAAACATATGCCTAGAAGTGATAATTCAAGATCTGAATGGCATTATTAAAAGAGAGAATATAGATATAAGTGAGTCCATGTGGGTGTCCCCCATGGGCCCCGTTTTTTCCTGGGCCCCATTCTCTTTCTCTCTTTATCATTTCACTTAGTAATTTCATCAGTTCTCATGGTTTCAGTTATCATGTTATGCAGGTGACTCTTAGATGTATTTGTCCAGCCCTAAACTTCTCCCAATCTCCAGTCTCAAATCTCCAAATGCCTATTAGAAATTTCAAACTGGATGACCCATAAACAACTTAAACACCTACCAAGTCCAGAATTTAACTCATCATTCCTAAAAACCTTCCCTCCCTTCCATACTTCCCTATTACTGTCACAGGCGCCACCATTCTCCTAGTCACCTAGACTCACAAGGTCCAATTCTTGACTCCTTTCATTTACTCCCCTCCCCCCTACCCAATCATTTGTCAGGTCATGTCATTTCTACCTTCATAATATATGTTGTATGTGTTTAGTATGTTCTTCTTTTCTCTGACACTGGCACCACCTTTGTGCAAGCTGTCAAAACTATTCCTGATGGTTGGTCTGCCTGTCACAAGTCTTTCCCAACTCTGATCCATCCTCCACTCAGCTTTCAAAGGGACCTTCATAAAGTTCAGTTCTAACTGCGTCACACACACACACACACACACACACACACACACACACACACACACACTCTTTCCAAGGGCTCCTGTCACCTCCAAGATCAAATATAAAATATTCTATTTGGTGTTCAAAGCTACTCATAACCTGTCCCCTACTGCTTTTCTAGTCTTCCTACACCTTAACCTTTTTCTGCCACTATATTGATACCATTTCTGATACTGGGCTTCTTCCTGTTTCTAAAATAGTATTTTCTCTGGCTACCCCTATACCTGGAATGCTTTCCCTCCTAATGTCCACTTCCTAGCTTCCCTGAGTTTCTTCAAAACACACTGCTATAAGCCTTTTCCAGTTCATATTAAAAGGATAATAGACAGTACTGCTTAGTGCCTTCCCACCAAGACTGCCCCCAATTTATCCTGTATATATCTTTTTTGTATATAGTTGTTTGTTTGAATGTCATCTTCCTGATTAGACTGAGCTCATTGAGAGCAGGGACTGAGTTTTGCCTTTGTATCCCTAGCACTTAGCTTAGTGCCTGGCATATAGATGCTTAATCAATACAAGTTGACTACTAAATTATAATTTGTCTTTTGTACTATTTTCTACTCCAAACTTATGTCTTAGTGTTTTACTTTTCTTCTTTACACTCAGAGAAATTTGAAACAATGTAGTTCACAAAAAAAGATAATTTTAATTCATTTTCATTTATAGGTCTGCATTACATTCACTGAATTCGGAAAAATGCAGGATGTTTGTAACCTTCTTGTTGAAAAGCTAGATAGTTCTGTTATCATCAGTCCTCCTCAGTTTTACCATACACCAGGAGCTATTGAAAATCTTAGGTAAGTTAAGCAAATTGTTAAAAAAAAATTCTGTTATATGGCTTGTTAATTTTCATTAATATTATTGTGTTTTTTATTCCCAAGACGCCAAGTCTGTCTTTGTGCTGTTGGGAATGCATGGCGAAAGGCTCAAGAAGTATGTCAGCTTGTTGGTCAGTCACTTGGAAAACCTCTATTAATCAAAGAAGAGGAAACGAAAGAATGGGAAGGTCAAATAGACAATCAGCAGTTATCTGACCTAGCAGGTTCACTAAGTATACAACAGAAAATCCAAAGTGCAACAATATATGCTTCTTCCAGGGTATTTTTAAACTTTGAAGTTAAAAAAAAAGGAAAAGAAAAAAAAATGATTTAAAATTCTTTATAACCAAATTTTTTCGTCTTTGTATCTAATTGCCCAAAACCGTGATTAAATTTGTATAATTTTTATAAAGTTTTTTTATACTAAGATTAATATTTTATATAGAATGCCAAATTTTATCTGTCAACTAAAAAAATGGACCCCACAGCATACTTAAACTTTTGTGTTCTTCATTTTCAGTTTTTGCTTTCAAGTTCCCACGTTCCCCACATTCTTCTGTCATTTTAATGTCATTCTTTTTACATTTTTCTTTTTTGTGACCATGTGAACAGAATTTGCATTATTAGGTATGTTTTCTGTTTTCCTGAATTAAAAAAAAACTTTTAGACTTTGGTTTTCATGGATATGTGTATAGAGTACTTTCTATTCAATTTTTACTGGGTTTTTTTAGTCTTACACCATATTCAGTGGGTGCATTAAATATTAATTTTAGTGCAGTATTATAAATTAATCTGCTTCACTTCATCACATGATTACAGTTTTGCATTTAAATGTGGTTTCAGCTTCTGCACTACAATCCAAAACTGCCAAAACTAAATACTTTGTGAAATATTAAATGAACTTAAAAAACTGGATATCAGTTAAAAACTAAGTAACTTCATTTTGTAAAAGTAATTTATTGATGAAATTTGTGAAACTGAAAATGTGGAACATTGGCATGCACTATTGGGCCTTAAGTTTCATGTTAAAGGGTTACACAATACTGCTTCAGGGAGCTTATAGTTTTTTTTTAATATCAACCAAAGTTAGGCTAATAAAGCAACTACAGAAGTGAGTAGAAGGTAAGGTTGGAGTCAGACTTGCAGAATAGAGTAAGTGAGCATTTACCTGGAAGAGGTACACCCTAAGCTTCAGTTATAGAGAGAGATGATGCAAATGATAGGCAAATGATCATTACAAAAATAGTCTTTTTAAGTTTTTTTTCAGCATTTGGGGGATGATACTACATTAGGGAAGTTTTAAAACAATCCTGAGCAGACTGAAGGAAGAGCTGGCATGAAATAAGAGAAGAAAACAAAAAACAAAATAAGACTATTTGAAGTTTGTATTTTATATAAATGACTGATAAGTAGTGATTTTAGCTCTAAAATTCGGTAAATATATTTGGAGGAGAAAGGAAAAAAGTTTACTGTATTGTAAGTTCTTTTAGAGTAAAGACAATGCCTTATTCTTGAATCTCCTCAGCTCTTTATATAGTGTTTTGCAGAACCATAACTAGTAGTAGAATTTTGGCCTGTCATGGCACTAACAGCTGTGGGTCCACACTCCACAAGGGGTACCATACTCCATCCTTTTACCAGGATCTAAGAGAGTTAGAAACAAGGATTTCCTCCGGCCACTTTGGTTTTAACACTCTGGACACTTCCCTTTCAAGCCAAAGTCACAGCTGTGAGCTATATGCCTGCACACAGGGAAGGTAAAGGAAGACTGGAAAACTATATACTTGTCTCTCTCTCTGTCCACAGATTCCAGCTGGCTTCAGCAGACTATAAATCTCCCTACCCAGCAGTTCTTTCCTATGGGTGTATCAAGATTTTTCTTGTTTAAAATGCACTAGACATTCATGAACCATAAAAATCTAATTAAAATCATTTTCATATTTAAAGTTTAAAAACATATAATACTAGAATGAAAAAGGATATAAAATAAAACTCCCATTCCAAAATCTGTAATTGAAGAAAGCATTCTGCTAGCAGTTCAAGCTGTAGGAAACATTTCTTAAACCTTTCTCCCACCAAACTACAAGGCCTGCAAAGAACCAGGTAAAGGTAAACCAAGGCAGAGTTATATGCTATGGCTACACCAGTGACAAGAGCCCCAGAAGCCATCCCAAAATCCCACTAAATCCCACCTGCCATGGTGACAAGGTTCCAATAATTTTCTGGGGGACCTTTAATCACCATTAAAATAATATAGCAATTCTGAAAACTAGAGACCAAGCTTAATTTTTTTTAAATATATAAAACAACATAAACAATCTTTTTTAAAAAACAGAAAGATAATGTCATTAAAGTCTTCCGGGATGAAATAATCATGATGGCCAGGAACAGCACCAAGAACATTAGGTCCATTGAATAGGTGATATGTCCAACATTATTCCTGGTCCCCGTCACAGAGATGGTCCATCTGAGTTAAGATAGCTAAAAAATTACAAGTCTTTTACATGTAGCCTATGCTAGGCTAAGTGATACCTAGGATATCTTAGATGTCTAAGTTAATGTTAGGACTCACCCCTAACTACAATGTTCCCAGGCTTACCACCTAAAACCTGCCCCTCTCTAACAGCACGAAATTTTGACCCCTTTAAAAACATCTCATACCATCTTCCTCCATGTACATTGGATGAAGACTTCCCCTCAGTTTCATCGAAGGTCTTAAAATAACAACTAAGTAAGCCAAAGGATCCCTTTTTGTCAAGTTAACTTCAGGTTATCATAGTTATAAAAATAATAATAATGACAACAAATTTACATTTCTATGATTAAAAAGCAAAGCCCCTCTCACTAACTGCAGATTTTTTCTGAGGAGCTGTCCAAACCATTCAGGGAAGGGAAACTTGCCAATTAGAGGGAATCTACACCATATTCCCAAGTTTTCACCAGTCCTTTTGAGGGAGCAAAAAACTTGAGACCTGGGTGCTGGAGAGTATCAGTTGGAACTGTATCCAAGAGTAGTCCATTCTGATCAGTCAAATCTTGAAGGGTAGGTCCAAGAAACTTATGGAATAAAGAGTGCTTCCCCCTTATTAGACTTGCCTTAATGTGTCAGACAAAAAGATTTAATACCCAATCCTGATAATCAGAGATACGATGAAAATTTGTTGCTTTAAGAGACTATTCCGCCACTCCATGATACCAGCTGCCTAGGGCTGGTATGGAAAATGGAAAACCCAGTAATTATGACAACAAGCTTAATCCTAAACCTTCTTGTGGTAAAGTGGGTACCCTGGTGAGAAGCAATAGTCACAGTCATAGGTATAAGCCAGACCACATTTAGGTATGTATCAGCTCTGCCTCCATTAGTGGCTAAGCTCATATTTCTACTAGCTTCTCCCTTTTCTGAAGAATCCAAGCCCTTGCCTGGGGCTGAGCCTCCCCCACCAACAGCATAGAAAGATGGATACTAAAGGCATACCTGTATGCTAAGAATGGTGGTGGTGATAGAGGGGAAAGGCAAGTAATTGGAGAGGTACGTTGGACTTCTCAAACATACATCTGCCATCATAAATAGGTTTTGTATGCTATTTAGCACCTAGTTTGTAAATACAGTGTGTATTTCCTATATCTCTCCTTGTCACAGCCACACACCAAACAGAAGCTTTCCATACTCTGAATCTGGCTTAAGATCTGACTGATGACTAAAACTCTCTCTAAGGTTATTGAGGATCTCTTGCTAAATCCAAAAGCCTTCTCTCAGGCTTCATTCTTAAATCCAGCAGTTTTTGATACTACTGACCATCCCCTCTTCCTGGGTGTTCTTTCCTCCCTTGGTTTCTTTTAAGTCTCAGCTGATGTACTACCTTCTATGGGAAGCCTTTCCTATTCCCCCCTATCTGTCCCTTAGATTATCAGAAGTGTTATGAATATACTTATTTCTTGGCATGTTATATCCTCTTCCCCTTCCTAACAGTGTGTGTACACTTGGAGATTAGGACATGTTTTTGGTTCTGTCTGTGTATCTAGTATAGTGCCTTGAACATATAGTTGTTAACTAAATAAATGCTTGTTGAATTGGAGACTACCAGATGAGCTACAGGTGTGAGCTCTTCCCAGCCTTCCTCCCACCATTGTTTCAGGTTTCTGTCTCTCCCTCTCCACTTTCTATTCCAAACTGAGAGCATCTTTTCTGCCTTTTGCCCTAGCTGCAAAAATGTCTAGTTATGAAGCTTTGCACATAGGAAATACTTAATAAGCATGCACATTTCATCATTTTCCTTTCTTCTTTGGAAAACATAAAATTTAAAGCTAGAAAGGAATGTAGAATTCACAGAAATCACAGAAATTGAGAGTTGGAAATGGGTGTGCTTGTGCCCCTGGAGTCAGCTAGAAACTGGCTCATGAGAGCCAATTGTAAAATTTTCAAAGTGAGCATTTACGCCTTGGAAATCAGCAAATGCTACAAATCAGGGCTTAATTTGTTGTTTTGTTTATTGTTTAGACTCAAGAAAGTGATGGATAAAATGTTAATAATGCATTTTAAACTTAAAAGTGTGTCACTCATCCTTTTTTTTCATATAGCCAGTTGTTAAACATTTATCATCACATTCCTGGTTGGAAGGCCCCTTTAGTCCAATTCATACCCAAAAAGAATACCTGACAAGCAGTCATTCAGCCACTATTTGAAGACTTCCAGAAAGGGGTAACCCAACACCTTTTGAAGTAGTCTGTTCCCCCTTCTGAACAGCTCTAATTGTTAGGAAATTTTTCCTAACATCAAGTCTAAATTTGTCCGTATGCAAATTTAATCCATTGCTCCTAGTTTTCCTCTCTGGCAAGAACAAATCCAGTCTCCATATGACACCCTTCAGATACTGTTGTGCCCTAGCACCATGTCTTTTTCTCTCGGTAAACAGTCCCATTTCTTTCCAATGATTCTCATATGACATGTACTCAAGGCCCTTCAGCATCCTAAATGTCCTCTTCCAAAACGATTCTCCATCCTTAATTCACCACTTCTTTATGCCTATCCATCTCAACCCCAGCCCCACCCCAAGTTTCCACTCCAAATCTACCTATCCCTTCCACTATGCCCTCCAAAATACCTTCCCCATAATTAACACATTGCTGTTTGTAGAGGGCCGATCTTAAGAGTCTGATATGGGTTTAAGATACAGGACAGAGTTTGACCTTTGCCCAGGCTTTTACCCAAAGGGCTCAATAATTAAGAAACACAGCTTTCCAATCTCTCCCTGTTAGGAGGTTCCTGAGACATTCCTTCTCACTCTTTGAACCTTAGATTTACATATTCACTCCTCTATACAGGTGCCAGGAAAAAGCCTTGGAATTTACAACTCTATCTAGGAACTCTGATAAGGAGGAAATGTATGTTATCACATCCTTAGCAGATGTTTCGGGAGTGTCTCACAGGGAGGACCCTTTGAAGTTAGGATGGATTTTCTCTATATATCCTGTACCCTCAGAAAAATAAACTGAGTCAGTTTTTCTGCTCCACCTGGTCCACTTCTTCATGTCTTATTTCATGCATTTCCATTTGGTGTACTATCTGGTTGTGGTAGACTGGTCTGGTAGACCATCTAGGCCAACCCTTGTCATTTTCTTTTTGAGGAAACTAAGGCCCCAAAAGATTATGATTTGCTTGAGCCTCCAGAGTCCAGATTAGAAGTGAAGTATCCTGATTCTTATTCCAGTGCTCATTCTACAATACTATGGATATTTGTTGAATGAAGAAAGCTGTTCATCATAAACCTTCCTTCCTCATTCTTCCATCTTCCCTCCCTCAAAGAGACATGGCTTCTTCCCAACAATACTGCTTCCTTTGATACCAAGTACTGACTATACTTTGTCTAAGCCACCTTAACTTGTTCTTTTGGAGAGAGTCCAGATACTTTTTGCTTCCCTTTGCCACTTCCAGATCCACTTCAGTCTCCTTCTTTAAGGTTCACACTGTCCAAATTTATCACCCAACTCAGATTCTGATAACTGTCATCCTATAGACCACCAAGATACTCTTTCTTTCTCAATAAGTTCAATGCCTAACTCACAGTCTTTCTTTCCCACTCAACTCCTGCCCTTATGCTAGGAAATTTCATTATATATATTAAGATTCTCTCAAATGCTGTAACTTCCTACCTCAATCTACTTAATTGCCAAGATATTTCTCTTCTACCTTAAGTACACACAGAGATGAGCATACCCTTGAAGTTGCTAGCACCCACGTGTATGCCATGTGCTGGTTCATAAATTCTGATATTCCTTTATCTGATAAATGATCTGAATTTTATCCCATCTTTCACTGGCTATCCCCTATTCATTGAATGTTCTGCCTCTCTCACCTCAAGATCTATCTGCTTCAGGAGGCCTTTCCTGGTCTCCTTAGTTCCTAACTCCTCCCTCTTTCAAATTACTTATGATAGATCTGTATATTTCTTTTATGTACTGGTACTTGGATATTATCTGACCCATTTGCATGTATAATCCTTGAGATTAAGGGAAGTTTTTTTGCCTGCTCTTGTGTCCCCAGATGGTAACACAATGTCGGGCATATAATAAGCACTTACATGCTTATTGACTTACTCTCCAGCTTATTAATGTTCTTCTTAACAGTGGTACAGAAGGATTGTCACCTTATTCTTGGAAACTGCATCTCTCTCAGTGTAGCCAGAGCTTGAATTAGCATTTTAACAGCTTCATCACTCTGCTGACTCATGTTAAGCTGACAATCCACATACATACCCCAGACCTTTTTCAGACCAATTCCTATTGAATCATGATATCCCCATCTTCTACTTCTGAAGTTAAATTTTTTAAACCAAATGCAAGATGTTTTATATTTATTCCTACTGAGTTTCATCTTATTAGATTCAACCCAGTACTGTAGACTGACAAGATCTTTTTGGATTTTGAGTCTATCACCTAATATCTCTCCTGGCTTTGTGTCATCTGCAAATTTGTTAATTATATTAAACAGCATAGGTCCAAGCATAGATCCATAAGGTATTCCACTGAAGACCTCCTACCAGACTGACATTAAATTCTTTGACTTTGGTCATCCAACCAGTTCCAAATCCAACTACTGATAGTATTGTCTAGTCTACATTTCTCCATCTTCTCAAAAATTGTATGAGATACTTAAGAGTTTTGCCTAGACCTAGGTACACTGTATCTACAGCATTCTCTGACCTGTTCTTGATGTTTAACCATTTCTTTAATAAAACGTTTTAGGCTTTTTCTAGGAATTTAAGTCTGGAGAAGGAAATGGCAAACCACTCCATTATCTTTTCCAAGAAGACCCCAAATGATGTCACAACAAGTCAGACATGACTGAAGTGACAACAAAAAGGAATTTAAGGAAACTTATGGTTTCCAGACTCTGTTCTTGTCTCTATTTTGAAAATCAGGACAACTTTGGCCCTTCTTCAGTTTTGTGCTACTTATTTTCTCCATGGAAGACCATCTAGGCCAACCCTTGTCACTTTCTTTTTGAGGAAACTAAGGCCCCAAAAGATTATGATTTGCTTGAGCCTCCAGAGTCCAGATTAGAAGTCAAGTATCCTGATTCTTATTCCAGTGCTCATTCTACAATACTATGGATATTTGTTGAATGAAGAAAGTAATTATCCTGAGAAATAAATATGTATGTGATTAAGGACTAGGTCACCAGAATAAAGATGCAAATGGCTACATTTTGTAACTAAGACAAAAGTTAGGGAAGCCTAGAGGCAGAAAAGTAAAACTCTCCATAAGAATAAGGAAGTTTGATTGCTGGTGGGTTGAAGAGGAAGGAAGAATATGAATCAAAGAGCTTTCAGATCATTTTCCACACCCAACTGCCATAACACATATACATAAAAGTTCATCGACAGAATTAATGTAATTAATGATAATGCTGCCTTAGAAGAGATGGTAAAGAAGGATGCTAGGAAACACACAACAAAACTTTTTCCAGAAATAAAAACATTGGTACTATAAACTTGAATACCATTAGATATGAAAGTATCCTAAGCAGGATACTGTTCTATGAGCCATTTACTTTGGTTACCCTATCACTTTGATCCATTATTTCAGGAAAACTTCATCAATTCTTCACTTTACACCCTTGTCCTTAGCCAGATCATCTTGGCAGTCTCACCAGCAGCCTTGCTCCAGCATATAAATACATTCATACATACATGCATACATACATGTATGTATAAGAAAGTATAAAATGACAATGATAAAAAAAAAGACTAAGCAAAGAAAGAATAGAGATATTTCTCCATCTCCCCCAATTATAGAACTGTAATCTAGTCAGCTCTGCCTCTGTTCCTGCAAGTGGCACATTTCTTCTACTCCTTGGTTGCTTCATTCACTTCACCAGCCTTACTTAACATTCTGGACCAGTGTCCCTCCCTAACCACCAGTCCCTTGTGTGTATTCCCTCCTCCACTACATTTGAAGATTAATTCCTTGAGATCAGGGGCTGTCTTTGCTTTAGTACAGTATATGGCAATACTGTAAGTATTTAATAAGTAAATACTTTTTCAAATTCATTCATCCATGAGCTTGTTTTAGATTTCGTAACACAAAACTGCATAGTGTCCTTTCCACTGCATTATTGATTATCTGAAGATATGGAAGGGGGGCATATTTGCCTGCCTACTTTTTTTTTAATCAGTTCTTGCTACTCAGGTATATCCTAGTGTTCTCTGCTAGAATACATCCTGGTCCAGGACTACTACAATCCACTGTTCCTTGGCACTGAAACAGCTTTATTTAGGGGCAGCTATGTCATATAGTAGATAGGATACTGGACTTCAGAATCATGAAGACGCATTCACCTCCTGCCTCAGATACTCCCTCACTCTGTGGCCCCAAGCAAGTCACTCACTTTTTTCAGCTTCAAGTTCCTCAGCTATGAAATGGAAATAATAGTAGTACCTACCTCACAAGATTGTTATGAGGATCAATGGAGATTATACATGTAAAGTGCTTTGCAAACCTTAAAACACTATATAAATGTTAGCTCTTTACCCTTATCTCATTGCTAGGGAAAAGAGCTATGTTTAATTATGGAGGAAACTGGTTTGCTTCATTAACATGAATAAGAATTGACCAATGTAAAAAGATAACACATAGATATCACTTTTAAAAAGAGTTCATTTATTTATTTCAGAACCATTTGTCATGATAAAGGAAAAATTTAGATGTGGGACTGTACAACAAATGCAGTTATTGATTAAAATAGATTTAATCATGAGGATAGATTTGTTTTAGCCATGGCTGCATAATGTATTTGGCTCCATCGTACTTGCTGAAGTAGACTTTCAAGTCGGGATGGAATACCTAAAAATCATTTTCCGCGTTAGTTCATAAGCACAACTTTAGAGAATACTTTTTTCCAAAACAATTTTTTTCACAATAGATAAGATGACTAAAGGAAGAAATTAATTAAAGAACAAAAATGGAACATTTCCATGTCATCCTCATTTAAAGTTGTCAGGTGTGATATAATAACTATGAATTCATGATCTGTGCCATTGATGGAGTCTCATTAGGGAGAGGTGCTAAGATTTCATGGCACTAAGGAGAGGTGAGCCAGCCAGATTGAGTTTCAAGGTAAGTCAATCTCTATAGTTTCTCAAAAAGGGTGAAGCCCTGGAGGCATGAACCTTCTAGGGTTTTGTTGTTGTTTTCACCTTTCAGTAAGCAGCATGCTATTGTCATTCCTCTTTTCAGAGGAATTGTCATTCCTTTTCTTTTCAGAAAAGTTCTTAAAATGAGAGATTTAATACAGACCTAAAATATAGCATGAAGCGCTGTTATAGTAACATGACACATAAACATGCAGTTTATTATTATTGGAACTTAATGCTACATGCTGAAAGTTGCACTATTTACACAGTTTGCTGTGTGTGTGTGTGTCTCTGTGTGTGTATATATATACATACCAATACTTATTTTAACTTTTTGATAAATAAACCCTCGAGAAAGAAATAGCTTCCAACTTAAGATACTTTACCTCATGTCCTGTAATAACTTTTAGGTTCTCCTCAGGAATATAGGCTGTACATATACCAATTTTGTTGGACTTGTGGACAAGAATTCGATAATGAGGAGATTTTCTTAAATACTGTGAAGAGAGAAATGGAAAAACAAGTAATAAGTTTGTATGAAAATTAATATGTTGCTAATTTTAGGAAAGTGACATCTAAACTAAAATAATTTTTAAAATTAAAATAATATACTATAACATTGCTACTATAAAATAACTATAAATACTATAATAAACTATAAAAACTATAACTACTATAAATAACATTGCTACTATAAAAATTATTTAAGTTTTCTACACCAGGTTACTTTTGATTTAGTAAGGCCTAGTTTGTAGCACCAAAATGTCAGTTAGATATACCTCTATAGCAAAACTAAATGATTTTAAGATTTCAAGATAGTATGTAACAAAAAGTTTATATTTCTTAACCTGAGCCACAGTTTCACTGAGGTAGAGGTGCTAAAAGTCAGGAAAGTGAGACCATGATGAGGCATTGAGTAAAAGCTACAGCTGTACTCTGAATAATTTAGGGCCTAATTATAAAGACTGATTATTCATCATGGGATGCTAGATGGCACAGTGGATAAGAGTGCTGGGCCTTGAATCAGGAAGACTCACCTTTGTGAGTTCAAATCTAGCCTCAGATACTGCTTGCCTCAGTTACCTGATTTGTAATATGAGATGAAGAAGGAAATAGCAAAATACTCCACTATTTTTGCCAAGAAAACCCCAAATGGGGTCACAAAGAGTTGGACACACTGAAACAACTGAGCCATAACAATTATTTTTTATAATTCATGGTCTAAAAGGGTACACCACAAAAAAAATCCACAAAAACTGTTTATTCAAGTTTTATTCTTTAAACAGTTTCTCTAAGATATAGAAATAATAAAAGCAATTATCCACTTTTCACATGTCTTTTGTTTTTTGTTTATTTGGCTAAGCAATGGAGGTAAGAGTCACACAGGTTCACACAGCTAATAAGTGTTATCTGTCTAAGGCCAGATTTGAACTCAGGTCCTCCTGAATCCAGGGCCAGTGCTCTATCCATTGCACCACCTAGCTGCCCCATTGCATGTCTTAAAAACATAAATCACTTGTCATTGCTTTGCTTCCATTCATTGGCAAGAGAAACAATATGAATCTGTGGCTATCTAAGATTTAGAAATAACCTGTTTCATTTGGTACTAAAGCAGATTTGTGGTGTTTGTTGGTGGTGTTTACAACATACTACATAGCCTCTCTGCTATATATTTTCACAAATAATTGTAACTCAAAAAAAATTGCAAAGAATAATAAATTATATTGGAAAGAGCATGGACTTGGAGTCAGAAAATCTGCGTTCAAGGCCCATTCACTTATTAACCTCCTCTTGGCCTTTATCTTCTCTGTAAAATATAAGGGTTAGACAAGATTATTTTTTAAAAGTCTCTTGTAACTCTAATAATCTGTGAGTTTCTAATATTTAGACATATTTAGATCTTCTTTAAAGCTAAGCTCATTTATGACTAATTTCTACACACCTGGATAAATTAAAATGCCTTTCCATCCAAGTGAATTTCTGCACTTATCTTGTTTTAAAAATTAGATGTTTTCTAACCTGTTTCTCAGGAGGATATTTCTGTTTTAGCCACTCTTCTGGAGCTCTGGCTTCTAGATCCCAACCAATAATTACTCCTGAATAACCAAGTTGCTTGTGCATTATCACCATTCCCACTTTAAAGTGAACAGATTCTGGCCTTGGACTTCGAATTCGAGTTGGTTCTATCATAGCAATGATAAAAAATATTAAGCAAAGAAAATATTTGAGTGGTACAGCAGTTTCAAGATATATTATGTGTCAAGAATTTACCATCACCAAAAAGCAGTCTAATTAATGGGCTCCAAACTGAAAAGAACAATTTAGCTACCCATGCTGAAAGGGAAAAAGTAAAGCATGAATGACAGACTGCAGCTTCAGCTATCTACACCACTAAGCCATTATCAGGTTAATATTTGACTCATTTGAAATGTCTTAATATCTAATACTAATATATAGAAGAGTCTTGATAACAGAAGTTGCTAGTCTAAGCAACCAACAAACAATAATTAATCCCTGAGTTTAAAAAAAAAAGTGAAGGGATGAGGTACAATAGCATAAGAAATTAGTAAATGCCCAGAAAAATATATGGACTACTTAGCAAGTCACAACTCTGTCTGTCTCACTTTCTTCATCTGTAAAATGAGCTGGAGAAGAAAATGGCAAACCATTCCAGTATCTTTACCAAGAAAACCTCAAAATGGGGCCACAAAGAGTCAGACACAACTGAAATGACTCAACAAGGAATGAGAAAACTGGTTCCAGACATAGCTTACTATATTCCTCGCCAGATCTCCCCATTCCTTTTTTATTTTAGAAAATATATTTAATACTTTATTTTGTCCCCAATTACATGAAACACAATTTTAACATTCATTTAAAAAAACTTTGAGTTCAAAATTCCTTCCTTCCCTTCCTTACCCTTTCCCCCTCATTGAGAAGGCAAGCAATTTGGTATAGGTTATACATATGCAATCCTGCAAAACATTTCCACATTAGTCATGTTGTGAAAGAAAACAGACCCACCTCCCCCCCACCCCAAAAAAAACAAACAAGAAAAATCAAAAGTATGCTTCAATTTGCATTCAGATTCCATCAGTTCTTTTTCTGGATGCCTAGCATTTTTCATCAAAAGTCCTTTGGCATTGTCTTAGATCACTGAATTGCTGAGAATAGCTAAGTCATTCATAGTTGATCATTGTGCAATATTGTTATTACTGTACACAGTGTTCCCCTGATTCTGCTCATTTCACTTTGCATCAGTTTATGTAAATCTTTCTAGGTTTTTCTGAGAGCATCCTGTTCATCATTTCTTATAGCACAATAGTATTCCATCACAATCATATACAACAGCTTATTCAGCTGTTCCCCAATTGATAGACATCCTCTCCATTTCCAATTCCTTGACACCATTAAAGGAGCTGCTATAAATATTTTTTGTGCATATAGCTGCTTTTCCTTTTTGTTTTGTTTTTGTTGTTGTTGTTTGTTTTGTTTTTTTTTAATCTCTTTTGGATACAGACATAGCAGTGGTAATCCTTGGTCGATTAGCTTTAAAGCTCTTTGCGCATAGTTCCAACTTGCCCTACAGAGTGGTTGAATCAGTAGACAACTTCACCAATAGTGCATTAGTGTCTCAATTTTCCCACATCCACTCCATCGTTAGTTCTTTTCCTTTTCTGTCATATTAGCCAATTTGATACTGTGGGGTGGTAGCTCAGAGTTGTTTTAATTTGTGTTTCTTTAATCAATAGTGATTTAGAGCATTTTTTTGTGTAATTATAGATAGCTCTGATTACTTTGTCTGAAAATTGCCTGTTCGTATCCCTTGACCATTTATCAATTGAAGAATAGCTCTTATTTTTATAAATTTGACTCCATTGTCTATATGGTTGAAAAATGAAGTCTTTATCAGAGAAACTTAGTTCAAATTTTTTTTACAATTATGATTACTGTATATCTCCCTTCATCCTATTTCACCCTCCCTCCTGTTTATCCTTCTCTCTCCTTTCACCCTGTCCATCCTCAAAAAGTGTTTTGCTTCTGCCTTTTATCTACCCAATCCACCTTCCTATCATCCTCTCCCTTCTCTTATACCCTTCCCCTCCTACTTTCCTATAGAGTAAGACAGATGTCTATATCCAACTGAGTGTATATGTTACTCCCTCTTTGAGTCAATTCTGAAAGTAAGGTTCACTAACTCCTACCCCCCTCCTCCATCTTCCCTTCCACTGTAAAAGTTCTCTTGTGCCTCTTTTATGTGAGATAATTTATCCCATTTGGTCACTCCCTTTCCCCTTCTCCCTGTGCATTCCTTTTTCTCATCCCTAATTTTTTTTTAGATAATCATCCTATCATATTCAACTCATACCTGTGCCCTCTATGTATACTCCTCCTAACTGCCCTAGTAAGAAAGTTTTTAGGAGTTAAAAATATTCTCCCATGTTAGAATGTAAGCAGTTTAACCTTATTGAAACCCTTATGATTTCTCTTTCCTGTTTACCTTTTTATGCTTCTCTTGAGTTTTGTATTTGAAAGTCAAAATTTCTTTTTAGCTCTGGCCTTTTCATGATGAATACTTGAAAATCTTCTGTTTCATTGAATTTCCATTTTTTTCCCCTGAAGGATTATACTCTTTTGCTGTGTAGGTGATTCTTAGTTGTAATCCTAGCTCCTTTGCCTTTCTGAATATCATATTCCAAACCCTCTGATCTTTTAATGCTGCTAACTCTTCTTTATCCTGATTGTGGCTCCACAATATTTGAATTGTTTCTTTTTGGCTGCTTGCAGTATTTTCTCCTTGATCTGGGAGGTATGGAATTTGGCTATAATATTCCTGGGAGTTTCATTTTGGGATCTCTTTCAGGAGGTCATCAATGGATTCTTTCAATTTCTATTTTTTCCTCTAATTCTAGAATATCAGGGCAATTTTCTTTGATAATTTCTTGAAAGATGATGCCTAGGCTTTTTTTTTTATTATGGCTTTCAGGAAGTCTTAAAGTGTCTCTCCTGGATCTGTGTTCCAGGTCAATTGTTTTTCCAGTGAGATATTTCACATTTTCTTCTATTTTTTTACTCTTTTGATTTTGTTTTGTTTCTTGATGTTTCATTAGCTTCCACTTGCCCAATTCTAATTTTTGAGGAGTTCTTTTCTTCAATGAATTTTTGTCCCCCTTTTACCATTTGGCCTTTTCTGTTTTTTAAGGTGTTATTTTCTTCCATATTTTTTGTCCCTCCTTTACCAAGCTGTTGACTCCTTTTTCATTACTTTCTTGTATCACTCTCATTTCTCTTCCCAATTTTTCCTCTACCTCTCTTCTTGATTTTTATAATCCTTTTTGAGCTCCTCCATTGCCTAAGACCAATTCATATTTTTATGTCTTTGAAGGCAGCAGTTTTGACTTTATGTCTTCTTATGGGTATGTTTTGAGCGTCCTTGTCACCGTGGTAACTCTCTATTCAGTTCTCCCTTCCACAACATGACTTTCCCCATTGCAATTTCAATGTATCACAGGTCACCATAAGAAATTAAATGGGAAAATTGGGGGAGTTTTGCAGAAATCACACAAAGGCCAGCAGACAACATAGAGACAAATATTTAACCCAAATTTTACAATAAGGTACTGTAAACATCCCATAACAGAAAAATGCAAAAAGAAAAAATTCAGATGTCTTCTCTAGCACAAAAGGAGGGCAAAAAAAAAAATTTACATGTATTTTCCAGATCACGGGAGTACTGAGCTGATAGCCCCTGAAATATGGAAGGAATGTCTGTAGTCAGAATTTTTTCTGTTGTTTGCTCATTTTTCCAGCCTATTTCTTGACTTTTAACTCTATGCTAAAGTGGGGCTCTGATTCCAGGGTGAGAGGGCACACTTTCCCAAGCTTTAGGGTTTTTGTGTAGCTGTTTTCAGAGCTAGTTCTGGGGGTCTGTACACTTTCAGTTCTTCTAAGATGGTATGATTAAGGAGATGTGTGTTTACTACCCTGCTGGCCTGTGCTCTCGTCTTTGAGTGACCACAAGCACACCTTTCGGCCCTAGAAATATGACCACAGTCTCCACCCCCCTGTAGCCATAAGCTCTGGTGTGCTACTGCTCCTCCTCGCCCCACAACTGCCACCTAGGACTGCAAGCTGGATCCACGTATAGGCAATACAACAAAGTCATGCCCCCAGTGCCAGCAAATGGATTCTTGGAAACTGCTGACCAGTTGGCCAACCCCCTTATCATATGTGGGCTGAGAGCTCGGGAAGCAGCTGCTGCAGCTGCTGGTTCAGTTGCTCCCAAGGCTGCCTCCTGGTTTGCTGGGGCCTGATCTGTGCTGGTGTAGCCCACACTAAACTGTGTTTCATTCTCACCTAAGTACAGCAGACCTTTCCTGCTGACCTTCCAAATTGTCTTGGGCTGAAAATTTGTTTCACCTCACCATTTTGTGGGTTCTGCTGCTCCAGAATTTGTTTAGAAGCATTATTTTAAAGGTATTTGAAAGGAAACTGGAGAGGCTCAAGAGAGTCCCTGCTACCTTGGCTCCACCTCCTTTCTCCCTATTCCTAAAAAAATCCCTGATCCCCTCTCTTAGCTATCCCATCCCAGGTTATTTCCTTTCTGATGAGGCTTTTGTTTGCCATTGTTACTGTTTTTTAAAAATTAATCTCAAAAAACTAAGTCTCATCCTCAAATTTTGTTATTATCCTCACCATCTTCTCCCTCCCCTACAGCTATTTGACTTAGAAGAAAAACAAAAGGGTTGTTAATGATGGTAGAAGGAGGTGAAGTTTTCAAAGGTGGGTTTTATTCCCTATTAGAGGTCTGATCTTATTTATCCAAGAAGGCAGGAACAGAGTTTGTAGACCTAGAAGGAGGTCATTTGCAGAGTTTATAGGGACTTGTAGACCAAGGAGGGGAAACTATTCTCATAGTATACTGAAACATCATGTTTATAAAGTATAACTTCAAGAGATATATTGAAAGCTTTGCTACATTCCAGCTAAAGTGTCTCAAATTAAGAATAGTACTGTCAAGGGACAATGTAAAGTAATTCATTAAATAGCTCACTCAAATGTTTTCAGTAGACAAAGTTATTACTAGGTGGTTACAACTTTAAATTATTACATCCTAAATGTAAAATATTTTTAGAAATCTATATACATTATCCTTCATATGTTCCATGTCACTATTCATGCTAATTATTCTCTATTCCACAAATTCCTGACCACAAACCATTCTACCCTTTACATTCAAAGGCCATATTTTAGTTTTTGTTGTGGTCATTATATGCATCTGTATCCTGATAAATTCAGCTAACTTACTAGGCTGCTGTTTAAAAATTAGTGTTTTCATTACATGTATTCTTTTTTTAAAACCTGCTTTTAAAATGTGCACAGTAATGAGTTTTGGAATTTTGCAAAGATGGCTTTTAGATATGTTTTGCTTTGATGGATGAATTATATCTATTACAATCCCAATGAGAAAAATTGAGGCAACAATCCAAAATAAATAACCCCAGCCCAAGTAAATACAATGTGATCAAGTGAAAAAAATTTTCAGTTCATGCACAATTTAGCACCAACTGTTCAAACATTTTGTACTGCAGTAAGGATTGAAATACATTAAATTTCCTGTTGATCATGGAGAGAGGAAATATAGAATTTTTTTAATGACCATTTTCTGACTGGCCCAATACCTGCAAAGTAAGCATGGATATATTCTTCACCTTCATTGTACCAGTTCCTGGAATGAAAAAGATGTAGACTCATTTATTAAAAGGGTACAAACAAACCGATATGAATATGCAATTGATGTAAAAGTTAGCTTATTTAAAAGAGACCATGAAAAGCAACATAAAATGCATCATGGATATTCAATGACTTATTCTGTTACCACTGTAGAGTTTATCATTCCCAGCACTAATCTCAGGCTTCAAGATTAAGTTCAGATATTCAATTGCTGAATGCAGAATTTTAAGATGAAATTATCTAAGGAAAATACTGAAATCTGATCACCTCAATGGCCATTCTAATTTTAAAAAGTTTGCTTGTAGTGCTTGGAGCTCTTATGTCTATACAAGGAAAAGATACTTCATGAACCATTTCTTGATGGTGATTCGCATTATTCAATTTCCAAATTAAACTCCAAATATTTCAGAAACTTAGTAGCTCTGCAAGCATACCATTAATGAAGCATGATGAATGACACAGGCTTACAGACTGAAAGAACTTCCTATATCTCTACTGGAGAGAAGGCAGGAATATAGTAATAGTCAGACAGACAGAGATGAGCGGAACTGCAGTGAAGTTATAGTAATGCTTGAAGGATATGTGGGCAATAGAGTGTTGGAGGGCAGAACTGTGGCATCCTGAGGGTGTGCATAGAATCAGCAACCTTGAACCCATTCATAAAACCTAATTTCCACTGGAGAAAATGCCAGAATATATATACTGTAGGTCCCATCACAACTCCTGTGGCAATTATACTGTTTCTTTAGAAATTCCACTTAATAAGTGAAGGGCATGTGAATATAAGGGCAGCTAGGTGGCACAATGGATACAGTGCCAGTCCTGAAGTGAGGAAGATTCATCTTCCTGAGTTCAAATTTGGCCTCAAATACTGACCAGCTATGTGACCCTGGGCAAGTCACTTAACCCTGTTTGCCACAGTTTCCTCATCTATAAAATAAGCTAGAGAAGGAGGTGGCAAACCATTCCAGTATCTTCACCAAGAAAACCCCACAAGGGGTCATGAAGAGTCAGACACAAATAAAGTGACTGAACAATAACAATGTGAACATAAGAAGAAGCTTGTAAAATTCTGAAGATCAAGAACCTTTTAAAATCATAATTTTAATTGATACTGTCCCAGCTAGAATACCAAAGCCACAACATTTCTAACCAGTAGAAAAATACTATTAACTAAGAGATACCTGAAGGAAGGTAGAAACAAATTCTTATTTTTAGCTTGAGCTACATGTATTTAGAAAACATTTCCTCTACTTTACACACAAACCACGAGCAGCTGCTATTTCCCTGGCTGTTTTATAGAACTTAAAGGCTACTATCTGGAAAATGGTATTGAGTAAGTCAATATTTATACAAATTCTGATTAGTTAAAATGGAACTTTTACTATTAAAAAATAGACTGACACCTGAAAAAGAATTCACCACCAAAAGTTAATTAAATGTGCCCCACAAATGAGGATTGCCCTGAACAAATTGTGGTATGTGAATGTAATAGAGTATTACTGCTCCATAAGAAGCAATAAATATGAAGAATTCAGAGGTGTACAAAGACTTAAATGAGTGGTGCATAGTGAAGAAAGTGAGCCAAAAGTACAGTAGCAACATTGACTAAACAATGTAGTAGATGAAGAAGACAAGAAAAGGCAAGAAAACTCCAGTCAAACAGAATGGATGACAGTATCAAATTGTTAAAAGTACATATCTTTCCTTTTAACACGCTAAACGACAGAAGGAGAAAGTGGTTACAATTAAGTAATTTTGTTTAATTATTTTGAGGAAAATGTGCTTTCCCAGGAAGGAGGTGTTTAGATGTTTGTTGGGATGTGTCTGTATAAACACACATATATACATACAGACATACATGTATATATACAGATACACATTTTGTTTTGACAAAACCAGGAAGGGATATGTTTGAGGGGTAGGGGTATATGTGTGTGTGTGTGTGTGTGTGTGTGTGTGTGTGTGTGTGTGTGTATATGTGTGTGTGTGTGTGTGTGTATACATACACACATATATATGTGTGTGTATATATGTATATATATGTGTGTGTGTACAGACACAGTTTGTATATAGACACAGCAGACATAGTCCCAGTTTTGTCAAAACAAAATGTGTATACACATATGTACATACATGCACATGTATGTGTGTATAGACAAACACATTTTGTTTTGACCCAGCAGACATGTCCCAAAACATCTAAACACCTCCTTCCTAAGAAAGTAGATATAAAGATATATATTTATACTATATGTGCATTTTGCTTTTATACAACATATACACATATATGTATGTGTGTATGTGTGTGTGTATTTTTAAGCCACTACTAAAGGGGCCCTTTTCTGATATGATATGATCAAGCCATGGAGTTGCAAACCCAGTGTTCTCAAAGGCTGTGTAATTGAGCTCAAGTTCTGTTTGGTCTTGTAAAGCTAACAAGCTTTCCAATACAAGCCAGGAAATGAAAAAGACTATTGTTTGAGCACCCAGCCTAGCTAAATTCCTAGAAGTGCATTCCAAATGGAGACAGGGTAAGGAGTTTTTCAGCCACAGCAATAATCAAATACCATCAACAGCTAATTTGTGGAGAAGCTATTATCTGTATGGGTGAAAAGACAACCTGTGCCAATGAAACTGAAGTATCAAAATATTCAAATTGAGATAGTATAAATTACATGAATATAAACCAAAATCTGGCTAATATAATATCTGAATATAGCCCACAATTCCTCATATTACTTTAGTGATGGTAAGGAAATGGCATACCATAGGAAGAGTTGCAAGTGAAAGGGCGAAACCAAAACCAAAATAATAAAGTTTAAAGAGGTCAGTGAAGTTTTTTTTTTATCTATTTGAAATCATTAACTTAGGTAATAATTTTCATGGAACTATTTTTTATAATCATTTTTTAGTGTTATCCATATTTTTCCTTTTAACACTAGTTGTACAGCCTCTAAGATTTGGAGGCAATCTCTATTTAAGAACACAAAGTATGACACAGGGAACTGTTTGGTCATAATGATTGATCTCAAGATGTCAGTTTATATTGTTATCCTATTGACACTTCATTCTCTTTTTCTTTGCCTTTCATGGCCCCAGAGGGCAGAATTAATAGTACTGGGTGAAAGCTGTCTGAAGCAGATGTTAGCTTCCTAACAATCAGAAAGATTTCACTATCATTAGAGCTCTTCAAAAGTAGAGTGACTAACTGAAGAGGTAATAGGTTCCCATTCACTGGAGGTCTTCTGCTAGAGACTTTGCAGAGAGAATGTAGGAAGAATTCCTTTTGAAGTTAGATTGGACTATATAAACTTCAAGGTTCTCTTCCATCTCTGAAATTCTTTGACTTTCTTTGGCTCGTTTTTACATTCCTCTCTTCAGCTAAGCCTCCAACTACATTTCAGAATAGCTGATGAGAAACTAAGTTTCAGAATAACTGGTGAAAAAGGGTGTTTAAGGCCCCTGAATGGTTACTTGAACTGCTTGATTCAGCTGATTGATAAGCCAATGTCAATCTATGTAAATTAACGCTAACAAATATGATCTACAAATTTTGGAAAAAGTCAAATGCATATTATTTCCAAAATTTTATTTTTTATTTACTAGGTATTCAGTTCAACCAATATTTATTAAGTACCTATTGTTGTTGCTTGTGCAAGGCTAAGGACTAGAGATACAAAAATGACAAATGACAGTGTGTACCTTTAAGAAGTTTACAATCTACATGGAAAACACAATGTACACACTCATAAATCACAGAATCACCAAATCTCAGAATTGGAAGGAATTTCCCAGCCTTGGACTAGATTACTAATTTTTTTAGTTTTAAATACTATGACAGTGTCATGGGGCAAAGGAAAAATACAGATCCAGGGATAAGGATATTTCAAGTTTGGATTAAGTCAAAGGGCAGTTTAGGACCTAGAGGGCCACATGGCCTTGAGGCTGCAAGTTCCCCAACCCTGCTTCAAGGAGAAACTGAGAAAGGGTAAAAAACACTTTCATCTGGGGGATAAGAGGAAGAGAGGTAAGGGAAGGCCTTAAAGGAAGAGATGGCACCCAAACTGAGGCTTAAAGGAAAAGAAGGGTTCATTCAGAATTAGAACCCAATTCTCCTCTTTTCTCTTTTTGTCAATTAGCAAACCTCTTTTTGCCCTCAACTATAATATGGGGCAAGATCTACTTTCATGGGCAATACTTCTAACTACTGAGTGAGGATTTCAAATTTAGGCTTTCAAATTTCAAATTCAAATTAGTTGAATAGACTGACTTCTTTGCCCTTATCCAACACAATGTCTGGGATCAGGCAGAATGCTCATTCAACTTGTAGAATTTGTGCTGTTGCTTTCCTCAAAGGTCTCAATTCTATTCTATTATTTTAATTCAAGACCTATGGTATGGGGGGAGAGAGGAAGAGAGGGAGAGAGGGAGGGGGAGGGAGGGGAACAGAGAGAGGGAGAGGGGGAGGGAGAGGGAGAGGGGGAGAGAGGGAGAGAGGAAGAGGGGGAGAGGGGAGAGAGGGAGAGAGGAAGAGGGGAAGAGGGGGAGAGGGGGAGAGGGGGAGAGAGGGAGAGAGGGAGAGAAAGATTGTGTCCTGTACAATGATACCTGCTTTGCCCTAGTTGTGAAAAGAGGAGTTAATGGTTTTTGCCGTACCCTTTATCAGTATCACTAACATAGCTGTCTTTAAACTAAATAGTGATAATTCAAATTTAAGAATTTCAGACTTTTCTATGTTTAAAGCACTGTGCTGGTGGAGCTATGGTATGAACAAAGATGGATGAGACATGGTTCCTACCTATATGGAGCTTACAGCCTAGAAGAGAAGACTTATAATCGTTATGATAGAAAGTAGAATATGAAAGTGCATTAACAGTTACAAAATGCCATGAAACTGTATCTCATTTGCTTTCTTAATCAAGAATAAGTGTCTCTATTTTTAATATGCTATATCATTTCTATTAGTCTACATTAAGCCTATGCTACGTAGTTGAATGTTCAAAGCTATGGAGAAGATACAAGAAAAGAATTTTCCCAACATTCTCATACCACCTGTCTTGGGCAAAATAATTGTCTTTTAATCATAACATTCAAGAAAGTATATGTTTGAGGAAGATAGTCATCAGATTGAAATAATATTCTGTAATTATTTTCATTTTTATCTCAGAACAAGATTATTGGCATAATTATGCCCTACCTCATCTTTACCATCTGGTACTTTAAATATCTGGTCCATGCATTCTGACCCAGGTATGACCATCTAAAATTGTTCCAGTAGCCAATTAACCTGAAACAAAAATGTTGTTTTAAGTTAGAATATAGTTGTAAAAGTAGGCATACAGAAAACTTTTTGCAGGCTTTATGGAGTTAATGGTTTCTTGGGTTAACAAAGTTAAATATGGGGTGTCCATGAGTTCAAATAAAATGAGTGCTATTTTGTCTCAAAAATGTCTCTTTTATCAAACAGAGGGAAGAAGTTATTTAGGACAAATATCATCCATAAGGTTAGAGACAGCCTTAACTAAACTTTCTATCTTTCCTACACACAGTAATTTCTTCATAAATGTTTAAATAAGTGTATAAATATTTTTGAATCTATAAAACAAATATACATAGCCAACATGAAAAGAAAATTCAATAAATGGATATATTTGTTTAAAAGGGGTTTTTCCCAGAGATTAAATCCTAACATTCAAAATCTATGAGGAATTGGTATCTATTTATAAGAGAAATATCCTGTCTACAGTGGATGTGAATAGTTTATGGAAGAGGGGGATACAAGTTGTAAATAATAACAGTGGATAGAGGACCGGCCCTGAAGTCAGGAGGACCTGAGTTCAAATCCAGCCTCAGACCAAACACTTGACACTTACTAGCTGTGTGACCCTGGGCAAGTCACTTAACCCCAATTGCCTAAAAACAAAAACAAAAAATATATAAAAAATTAAAAAAATATATTCAATCACAAATAGTCAGGAAAATGTAAATTAAAACAACTTGGCAATATCATTGCCTAGCCATTATATTGGCAAAAGTAATTAAAAATTAAAAGTGACAAAACAATCCTAGAGGAACTATAGGGAAACAGGTACATTGTCATGAGAATTGAAAATTGGTATACTTCTTTTGGATAGCAAATTAACAGTACAAAATAAGAATTACTATATGAAACTGATCAGACCCTTTGACCTAATTGTCCATTGTACTCTAAAGATGTTTAGTTTTAATTATCTATACAAAATATTTTCAACTGTGTTACCTATGTTGAAAACTGGAAGCTTATGTCCAACAACTGAGGAATGACTGAATAAATCTATGTAACAGAAAAATACATTATTGAAATGAGAAATATGGAAAAACAAAATCCTAAAAAGTAAAGAGAGCAGAACCAAGAGAACAGTGCACATAAAAAAAAATATATAACTATAGAAATGTGAGTGGAGTAACATTGGAAGGAGACATTCAATTGAATAAAGTTCTGTGTGCACAGGAGAAATACAAAATTTAGGTAAGATATGTCTAGCATAAGATAAAAACACAAAAATTATTGATAAGCTTTTCAAATTATTTGTCAGTTAAAATGCTTTGCTATAGTTTTGAACATATATTCATAATGGATTTTGTATTACTAATAACATTAGTTTTCTTAAAACTTAAGCAGACCTAAAACATGAGCAAGTATATGGTGAACATACGCAGGTATATGTAAAACCTGTGCAGATAGATAGCTAATTTCTTCAAGGAACACTGTGAAGCTAGTACTTTGAGACAAACTATTAAAATTGAAACCTATTGCTACAATAGCCTGAAAAGGTATGGTGGACTACTGCTTTCTTAGAAATCAGTTAGATGAAGCAAGTGTTAAGTATGTGCTATGTTTGCAAGTTTATTTTTTAAATAACGTACAGAAATGATATATGCAAAATAGGATTTAGTCAGGAGTGGTATCTGAAAAGTTAAATACTGCTGTATCATTTTGCCATGAATATTTGAAGGCAATATTAGGTGCTCTTAATAAGAGATGATTTTTAGAAAAAAAAATCTAAGTTATGTGCATATCATTCTCCAAAGACAACAGGCAGGGGCCATTTGAACAATCTGAATTATGACACAACTCTAATGTGTTCATGTGTATAAGGAGGAATACAGCTTATTCACCCTACTCACTAAACTCTGCCCTGTCCTACCCCAAGTAAGGCCTTGGGTATTTATGGATATTTGTTTCATCAGAGAATTATAGCTTTTGTCTTTTTAAAAATATTTCCTGCATTTCTCCTAGTTATATCTTTGGAGACAATTTTTTTGCCTGTAAAGGAACCTATATCTAACTTTATTATTATGCTAATGTGAAAAGAAGCATTGTAACTTGAAAGATGATTTTTCTGAATGATTTTCCAAATCATTTATAAGTAAAATACACATCTACTAAACCAATGATGCATCTGTGAAATTCAGTGTTCTCTGCTTTCTATGTGGAGTATCCTACTTTCTATGAGGATCAAAACAATTACATAATTCCATCTATACCATTCCTGTCTTCCAACAGTAAAGAAGAACTTAAAAGTCTTGTGTATCTGCATTTGGCTTTGAAATGTGTTTTTATAGTTGGATTGCAACACAATTACATGACATTGTGGAATATGGCCATGATATTGTTTAAAAAAATTGAATTCATACATTGAAGAGCAAGCTCAAGATGGCCTAGAAAATGGCAAGGTTTCCTTTATCCTGCCTCACTGCTCAACTGTACTTGGTCCATAGTTCAATGATGAGTATTCATGTTGCTTGATAGATTGATTACTAAGCATTGGCAACTTTTATGAAAAGAGATAGTAATGTCCAACGAGGAATAGTGGTCATCATGAGTCCTCTGGAATCATGGTTGACCATTGCATTAGATTTCTTAACTCTTTCAAAACTGTTTGTTTTTACAATGTTGATGTTATATTATAAATTGTTTTCCTGATTCTGCTCACTTCACTTTGAATCAGTTCAAAAGTCTTCCCAATTTTCTCTGAAATAATTTCACATCATTTCTTATAACACAATGGTATCCTATTACATTCATATGCCATAATTTAGTTCAGTGTGACCTATGAAAAATCCCAGAGAAATAATTTCTGGGTAATTAACAAACATTTTATTAATTATGGCTAGCAAACAAATAACAAAATGTGGTCAGTGGCACTTTCAGGAGCCAAAGACAAATCATGGGGGCCTGCTTGATGCTTACATACCCTTGGAGGGTGGGTGTTCCTGACAGGCAGAAATCAACTCTGATTGGTTAACAATTAATGAGAGAATGAATATTATAATGAGAGGTGGGTTTATTCTAATGAAGGGCTAGGGGACATGACTCTGATCCTGTTACTCTTGGCAAAGAAATCTCTACACCCAGACCACCCTATTTCAGCAATCTAGACAAAATCCACCCAGTCTTGCCAGAGAAGAACACAATGGGTCAGAATTCACCTAGATTAGATTCTCTTTGTTAGGTCTTCTGGTTGGGTGGGGAAAGAAACATGTACCCAGAGGATTTGGGCAATCTCATCTATCAGTAATGTCCTCCACAAGGGCTGGGCTTTGAATGAGGAAATAGAAAGGGAAAAAAACCATGGATCTCTCCAATATTAATTGGTTATTAATATGAGAGAAAAGTAATCATTTCTCTCATCAGTGACTCCTCAATTGATCAGTACCCCCTTAGGTTTTTCCTACTGCAAAATAGCCTACTGTAATATTTTTGTACATATAGGACCTTATTTTTCTTTTATTTCTTTGGGGTATAGGCCTAGCAACAGTATCTCTAGGTCAAAGGACAATATGCTAAACTCTCCCCCATGTGAGTTACCCTAGTTTTTTCTTAAAAGATACTTTGACTTTCTTCAAAACTTGGTTAGTTCAGAAGACTAAAGGTTCAAACTGTTGATATCACTTCCTTATCACCTGAGTATAAAGTAACCATGAAAAACTCCAGGGACATTCCAAAGTTTGACTGGTGGATCATAATGGGTAATTTAGAGGCAAGGGAGCTTTGCTAAGCTGAATGAACTTGAAGCATCCTCAGTTCCCATCTTTATTAAATATCATTCTGCTATGGCTGAGTAAATATCTTTTAATTGTTTAATGATATATGAATGTTTTATTTTGTTCCAGTATTAAACCTAAATTACCCTGAGTCCATCCATGCTTGGAACAGGTATGAACAATGAAACTATTAGCCTAATTATGCTTTGTTGAGGGCTACTTCTGGATGATTCAAAGGTAGACTATATAATTAATATTTTTTAATTACAAAAAAAGGTTTTGTGATCATCTGAATACTATTTTAGGTCAGATGTTTGGCTGTTAAATATAGTATGATACTCCAAAGTAAATGTAACACTAAAAGTTACATTCCTGGAACATACAAACTGTTATTTTCCCTTTCAGAAAGACATAGTTCTCCTTTGGTAAGATACATTACCATTGGTAAGTTACATTTTTGGGGGGGATATCTTTTGGGATATCTTGGGATACCTCTGTACTACATTGTGTACAACACTGAGCATGCATTGTAAAATATACACATTCATTTTGAAAGTTAATGATATTTTATTGGGGAAATAAATGCCAGTGGGCTGATCAAGAGGGGAATAATAGCAGCCTATAAGTATTTCTTGCCAAGTAAATTGCAAAACAACTTTTTGTAAAGTTGATTTGAGAGTTGGCTACAAATAACGTATACAGATCTCCTTAGAAAATTGGTGGGTATTTTTCTAAGTATTAAAGAAAAAGAAAGTCTAGTGATAAAAAGAAAACAAAGAATACCACCTTTCTATTAATTGAAAGCTTTGAATAGAATCAGCTCCATACCACTGAGAAAGTAAATATTGAGCTGGAAATGCAGCTACAAGGACACAGAGTTGTATAATCATAATAGCATTAATGGTAGGCATCTCAGCAGTGACACTTCCTCCAAGTTGCTCTTCTTTACCAGCCTGTCAAAGAAAAAGATGAAAAGTTATTTACCAGTCCATACTGTCCAACTCCCAACCCATTAGTATTTGCAGCTGAAATATTCAACATTTTCCCAGTCACTAGGTAGACCTAAACACTCATTGTATTCCCTTAACCAAAACTAAATTCAAGGCGTATAATTGTTTTCTCTGTGTTAGCATCTGAAAAATGTCTAACTAGAAAAGGGCAGATATTAGTGAGGTTGAGGGAGTTTTACACTTCCCCAGCCCATCCACAGCTTCTCCTTTTAAAAACTTTCATATGGTTTATGGCTGTGAATATGTAACTTGGCTCAAATGAAATAATATACCTCAGATTTATACATGTGATATATGAGTTATATGCATACACCCTGAAATATTCATGATGGCTATAGAGCATACTGGAAAGAGCTCTGGACTTAGTCTTTTCCAGTCCATGTAATCCCTAAGCCTGCTATAATGGAATCCTAGAATCTGGGAGTCACATCTGGACGAGAATCCCCTCCATGGCCCTTTAACACATCATCAGCTAGCATCCACTCAAAGATTCCCTCCCAGTAAGGAAAACCCCACTACCTCCCATGGTGATCAATTTTGGATAACTCCAATTATTGGAAAATGTTTTCCTTACACCAAATTTAATTTTGTCTCTGCAACTCTCACCCATTTCACTCTCAAAGGGGTACATAATGGGGAAGACAACAAATATGTAAATAATTAGGTACATATAAAATTTATATAGAATAGATGGAAGATAATCTGAAAGGACAGGCATTAGCAGCTGACGTAGTGAAGGAGACTGGGAAAGGTGGGACTTGAGCTTAAAGGAAACCAGAAAATAAGCAGTACAAATGAGGAAGTAGAACATTCCAGTCATAGGGGACCACACACACACACACACACACACACACACTTCTTTTAGAAGCTATCTTTCTGATTGATTTGTGTTCCCAGCACTTAGTACAGTGCCTGGCATATAGTAAAAGATTAATAAATGCTTGTTAACTGACTGGCCAATGAGATCAGCAGTCCAGCCTTGTGTGTTTGTGTCTGTGTCTCTCTTTCTTTCTCTCCCTACCTCCACCAGTAATTCACTACCAGTGGTGGTAGCTCAAAGGATTGAGTACTGGTTTTGTTTCTACAACTATTCTCTCAGAAGAAAGTTACAGCTTTGTAGTAGCAGTGCTGAACTGCGTAAAGACCTGGCTGGGTTCAGTTAGGGTCAGCCATTCACCACATACTGACCCTATTCAAGTCTTAATTTCTGAACCTCAGTATCTTCATTTGTAAAATCGGAATTTTAATGCTCTTACTGCTTATCTTAGAGTCGTGAAGAAGTTACTTTGTAAACCTTAAAATGCTCTGTAAGGTCTTTGAAAGCAGGAGCTGGTTGGTTGTTTTGGGGGGTTTTTTGGTTTGGTTTTGTTTTTTATCATTAAATCCCGATGACCTTGCATACAATAAGTTCTTCCTCTTAAAAAGAATTAGAAATGTAAGCCGTTATGACAGTCAAATCACCTGCAAATAAGTTCAAATGTAAGATGACTCCTACTTCCAACAAGGAGCTATTTTTGCTACTGCTCTCTGCCCTACCTCTAGTTATCATCTAGTCTAGTTATCTCAATATGAAAGAAATCCTAATTTTTAGAAAAATATTTTCATCTTATTTTACCGGTAAATTAATAGAGAATAATCCATCTTCATGCTGGGAAGGCACCAAGAGCTCAGAAAATCTAACCATCCCTACTTAGTCACAACAGGGGACCACTGCTTGGGGGAAATCGAAAAAACACCCAGATACAGCTGCTTCGTAGTCTTCCACTAGCCATTATGAATTCCAAACATCTCTTTCGGGTACAAAAACTGTATAGGGCAGGCACAGGTTTTTGGGGTTTTTTTTCCCTTTTCTCTTTTTAAAAATTGATCCTCCAAGTGCGTTTGGAAGCTGCAGGAGAAACTGCCTTGGAGTTCTGGGAGGAAATCAGGTGGGACCACAATCCTAAGAAATCCCTGACGGCGCTGCTAGGGCCCAGCGAGCTTGGTGCAACAGATGGAACTCGAGATTTTGAGCCAGTGGACTTAGGTTCAAAAGAGGCCTCCGATGCTACTTATGTGATTAGGCAAATTACTTCCCTTCCCTGGGGCCTCAGTTTCTACATCTGTAAAACGAAAAGTTGAATTAGATGACTTTTTTCCCCCAGTTCTACATCTATGCGCTTATAACGATTATAACTCCACCCCTATCCTCCCAGCCCCTACTCCTCCGATTTATTGACAGCCTTGTTAAAGTCCTCTTCCGCTCCCCACCCTCTAACTACCTTATCTTTCCAGACTGTATGCGCTCTTTGCAGTGCCCTTTCGGAAGAAGCCAGGGTCTCCAAGCGCAGGTAGGACGAGAGTAGCAAACCGTAATTAGTGGCCGCCTCCCTGCTCCTAGACCCCAGGCACCTCCCTCCTGGCGCCTGACACCCACAAAGATATCTTAAGGTGCTCCCTTTCGGCCTCACATAGATGCCGGTCTCCCCTCGGGAAGAGAAGAGGGGCTGCCTGACTCCAGCCTAGGGGCTGACCTGGAGGTGCCACGTACGTCTCTGCCATTGGCAATCTGAAACTAGAGAGCTGCAGGCTGAGGTGGGGTGGGGCGGGGATGATTATTCAATGGGTAGCCCTGCTCATCAGCCCTCTCACTCCATCTCCAAAGTCTGCCCCTAAGCAGAGGAGAATGTGTTCTCAACACTCTGAACTGAGTTCCCAATGTTACAAGTGAGCTAACGTGTAAAGCGCTTTGCAAAAGCGCTATATAGATGCTAGCTGTAATTATTTTTTTTACTGCTAATTACAAAATCAGAAAAGTTGAAGCTGAAAGGGAACTTAGCGCGCGCGCGCACACACACACGCACACACACACGCACACACACACGCACACACACACACACACACACACACACACACACACACACGAGAAGATATTTGCCCAAGATCACACAGCTGGTCAAGTGACCGAGTTCAAACTTACGTCTTTCGACCTCAAATCCCTCACTCTTTAGAACCTCAGGCGCTTCCACTTATGACTGATTCTTTGCTCTTGCGGCTCTGAGACCTGGGCCCTGAAACGCCTCCGCCTGGTTTTGTGCTTTTAGAAAATCCAGGTGAAGTTCCCCGGGAGTTGCCGGGGCTGGATTTGCAAATGAAAAAGCCCCTCAGTTTACTTTAACTCTTTAAAATCGAAAAGCAAATCTATCTATAGGGTAAACAAGAGGTGGTGAGGGCTGAGGGCTGCTGTAATTAGAACCTTTATATTCTTGTCCTGGTAACAGTTCCTGAAAACTGTGAGGACCCATCTGCACCTGCACCGAGAAAAGTGGAAGGGTTGGGTTGTGTGTTTTCAGTTGCAGAGTTGTGGTAGAAATATACAAATCATACTGACTTGTTTCTTCATTTTCTGCAGCTGGCGTTTAAAACCCTGTTGTTTGAAAGACAGGAACTACTTACTCTTCTCACTGAACTTGAAAATTAGACCCGAGGAAATCTTCCGGAAGGCCTCGGGTTCAAGTGCTGCTTCTGACTTACACTGGCCTCCTGACTGTTCAATAAACTTAACTTTGAAGGGTCCCAGGACATTCTGTTAATAGGCTAAGTTGCAGAGACGTTGCTGATATGGCTCCGTGGCTTGACAGATGTCCCACACCAGGAGTTCCTTACCCGACTGAAATCACAGGTCTAGGCTCTCTCCATCCCAGTCCCTCCCAAGAATTTTGCCGGGTATTCTAAAGAGCAGTTTCCCTTGTCCTACCTATTGTAGGGCCACCTAGGAAGAAGAGATGTATGTCTCCTCCCCCTCCCTAAGAAAAATGTACCAAAATGTTTGAGTATATATTTAGAGCTCAAAGGGACCTTAGAGGTTGAGTGCCAATTTTTAGCCTCAAATTAGGAGATTGGTTCCTAAATACATAGTTTGCTTTGCTAAAGAGTCCACAACAACAGGAATTAGGAAGTGTGGTCCAAAGACTGTCCCTCAGTCTTTAGGTTTATATAAGTAGCATTCTTATGTGTCAGTTCCCAAAGGCCAAGAGAGATATTTTCTTGATAAATCAACCCAATTCATTCATAGCAACAGACACTGAAAACTTTCCATTATGATTCATTATGTAACTGAACTAGACTACTCTTCTCTGAGGAAATTCCTTTATTTTGACTACTCTTTATCCCTGTACTTTAACTACTAGCCTTTCTTCCAACAGGGCTACTTACTTGTCACAGGGCCTTGACCTACCCTGCCCCCTTAACAGGCCTGTCTCCTAGATCAGCTTCCTCCAACTCAGTGCTCCAAACAGATGTGTTTCTAAATTCCTTCCATCAGCACTGGGCCTTCATACTTCTAAGTTAACATGCATTTATTTATTAAATACTTACTATATGCCCTGGACTGGGTATACAAAGAAAGGCAGAAAAACCCGTCTCTACTCTGAAGTAGGGTACTTTCTAATGGGGGAAACATGTAAATAACTAGATACACAAAAATTATATACAGTATAAATGGAAAATAATCTCAGAAAAAAAAAGGGATGAGCATCAGGGGAGAATAAGAAAGGCCTCTGTAGCAGGCAGAACTTGAATTGAGTCTTTCAGGAAGTCAAGAGGCAAAGCCTTCCCAGAATGGAGGACAGCCATTGCAAAGGCAAGGAATACTGTTCGAGGAATTGTAAGCAAGCCAGTGTGGCTGGATCACAGAGTACAGGGAGAGGACTAAAACATAATAAAACCAGAAAGGGGTGGTGGGGTGGCTATGAAGGGCTTTAAATACCAATGAAAATTTATATTAGATCCTGAAGGTAATAGGGACCCATTTAAGATTATCTATCGAGAAGTTGACATGGACAGACTTATTTAGAAAATTTTCTGTGGCATCTTAGGGGAAGATGGCTTGGATTGAAGAGAGAGACAGGAAATAGGATATGAGAAAGGGACATATTAAGAGATGTCGTAAAGGTAGAAATGACAAAATTTGGCAACAGATTGGATATGTGGGGTGAGTGGGAATGAGGAGTCAGGGATGACACCAAGATTTCTGGCCTGTGAGACTGGAAGCATGGTGGTGCCCTTAAATGTAATAGTGAAGTTTAAAAGAGAGGAGAATTGGAGAAGGGGATGAGTGAGAGGGATGGATGAGTTCTGTTTTGGACATCAACATTCTAATTAGACTATTTCTCTTTGGTATTTATATCTGCAAGGTACTTAATAAATTATTATTGATGGATTGTAGGCTATATTATGGAAGTTCTAGTCAAACTTTGACCTGCTTCCTATCCCCAGTCCAATAACTAGCAAATTCTTATCTCCTATTCCCCTGATACCTAGGATTTGGAGTCAATTCCTGCCTTAGCAAAACCCCTTTCCTTGCTGCTTCTTGAATTTTTATCGTTCTCTTCAGACTCATCCCTTCCAAGTTCCTATCTTCCTCTGCCCACCCCTCATCTATTAACTGATCCTTTCATTTTAGAACTCTCTATCATAGTACTTTCATATTCTGGTTCTCCCTGATATCTTTCTCCTGAAGATACCAACATCGATTGCTCTCATCTAGAATGCAGGGTGCTCCTCTCTGCTTCCCTTCCCCTTTAAGCACCCCAACCTCCAAGGTCAACTGACTCAGTTCACATTGAACTCCATTTTCATTCTACCTAACCCAGCCCACAGGAGTAGTCCTACCTTAGCCCTCATCACCTCTTAATCAGTTCAACCTGTGGCTCAGAGGACCCTTTCCCACAAAAGCTCTGATTTTTACAGTGAGTGGGTTCAGTCCCAGGAGAGCCTTGATCTCTGAAGAGAAGACCAAGCTTTATTTGTGTTCTATGGCTCATTAAACACCACCCCAGAGTAGTACTCAAGGGAAAATCTCTAAGACAAAAGTTTAGGTTTGGCTCCTGTCAATGGTCTCTCCAAAAGGAATTATTACAATCTCTTCTAGAAAAAATTAATGTACAAAGTGGCAGATATCAGATAGAAGACAGCTATTTATTGTTTGGGGGAGGGGCAATTGGGGTTAAGTGATTTGCCCAGGGTCACATGACTAGTAAGTGTCTAAGGTCACATTTGAACTCAGATCCTATTGACTCCAGTGCTAGTGCTCTATCCAGATGCTCTATCCATTGCACCACCTAGCTGTTCCTACACAACAATTTATTGTTTAAGAAATGCTTAAAATACAAAAGATCCATGTGCATTGATAAATACTGACACATTTAACCTCAAGTCCATCTTTCACTCAGTTTTCAAGGTGATCTTTCAGAATTAGATCCAACCATGTCACACACACACATACACACACACACACACACACACACACAACTTAATGAACTTCAATGGCTCCCTGATTCAGGATATAAAATATTCTGTTTCGGATTTTAAAATCCTTTATAAACTGGCCCCTTCCTTTCCAGTCTTCTTAGAACCTTATTTGCCTCCACGTCTGATATAGAGACAGTGACCTCCTTGATCTTCCTTCCCATATTACACTATGTCTCCTAAAATGCATTCACAATGGCTGTCCCATTATACCTAGAGTGTTCTTTTTCCCTTATCCCAACCTCTTTGGCTTCCTTAGCTTCCATCAAGTCTCAGTTAAAATCGCACCTTCGGCAAAAAGTTTTTCCTTATCCCTCCTAGTGCCTTTCCTCTGAGCATATCTCCAATTTATCCTGTCTATTGTTTGTTTGTGAATTTGCCGTAGTCTCACCCTCACCTTGTGAATTCCTTGAGGGCAGGGATTGTTTTTGCCTTTCTTTATAGCCCCAGTGCTTATTACAGTGGCTGGCACCTAGTAGGTGCTTAATAAGTACTTATTGCATTTAACAAAGGCTGACTTGACTTGTTCCCCTTTTAGATTTGGGCATTTTTGCTGCTTGAAAGGGGCAAAGGCCCTTTATGCAAATTGTGGCTTATATAGAAAAAAACACCTAGAAAGGAGTCTGCAGAAACACTACATTTTTTCAGGGCAACAAGTGGCCAAGTTCCAGGTTTTCCAACTGTTCATTTGACTATCGCTAACAAGAAAACTTTAGAATTAATGACTGGGAAAACATAAACCCCCAAACTGTTCTGTAATTATTGAACAAATATACGTTGCCTGGTTATTGCTTAGCCAGTAGAAATGAAGATTTGGCAAGCTATTGGTTGTCATAAGAGTGAGGTCTCTAAGGGATCACATCCCTGAATCAGGAAGGGACCATAGATTCTAGTGAAAGAAAAGAATCTACTTTTTTGGACTGCTACCTAGAAGAATGAGTTGGCTGGAATCTCTCTTCCTTGCTATCTGCTGCCTGGGATGTGAAAACCTCTAAAAGCAAGCCAAGTTCTGCAGATCCCTGGGTAAGGGTATCTTGCCCTTTCTGAAAGAACACAGAACTACCCTAGCAGGAAAGAAGTTCATCCCAGCTCAGAAAGAGAGGAGCAAAGCAGCTGCCCCCATCCAGATTAGCATTAAGGCACACTGTTCCAGAGTTGTGAATTACCTGAACTACCTGTGTTCTCTCACTATCTT